TATATATATATATATATATATATATATATATATATATATATATATATAGATTTCAACATTTTATTCTATATTTTTATCTTCTGCGTTCCATGAAATTTATTTGTCACAGTTACGACCTAGAGCAACGTTAGTTTTTGTGATCTCTCGAGGCATCAACTGGTCACTGTGAAATAATTAAAATTTTGAATAATAATAAATAATAATTTTATTAAATATTCTCTCAATAGTTATTTATAAATAAATAATATGCAAAACAAATTTTATATTATTTATTTATGCATTGAAAATTATTTTCCATCACTGCACAACTTTTTTATCATTTTAATAATCAATAAATAATAACAGTAAGCTCATTTTTATTTATCGAAATTAAAAAAAAAATTAAGTTTAAAGGTGTGTTTTATCTTATAATCGAGCATTGATTTATAAATGTAATAAGATAGTAAAGTATACAAATTTTCTAATAACTTGAAAACTCTTGAAATTGTGTTTAGTCTCTTGTGCATCACAAATGAAGACGGGACCCTCATATCCTAAGGAAGAGTAATTCCCATTCCACCTTAAGTTCGCAGTTGATTGAACTTTATTCTTGCTCTCGGATGTTGAAGGGAAATGTCATAAATATCAACGTGTATCACATGAGTTATACTTTTTTAATCAAGACTTTTTAAATTTATTTCAAAACCATAGAAGACACCAAGTACATAATTTACTGTCATTTTCTCTTAAATTATTTTTATCGCTTTAATTTTTTCACTGTATAATGTTTATCTAGTGTGCAACAAAAAGTGTCAGTGTAACAGAAGCTGATTGTCTCATTTTTATTTAATATCTTTTACTTTTTTTAGTCTTTTTTCAAAACTTTTATTTCATAACTTCTCATTTTCCGCAATGTTACTGTTTGACGTCGAGAAACGTGAACTACGTGATGACACACTCGATTTATAGTCAGAGTAATGTCGACAAATTCGAATTTAGTTTCACACAAAATATTTATTTTTTACAATTTTATTGTGATATATAAGTAATTTTTTTAAATAAATTAATATCCAGTTTATTGATTAAAAATTAGTGACATCAGTGTTGAAGTCCTAGATTAATTTATACACTGATAGAAGGATTTTTTCATATTCAATAAGCTTTATTAACTGTTAATAAATGATTTTTTAACATCATAGAATTGTATTAATATTTATTAACAGTTAATAATTAATTTATTAAGTACAATTTATTGACTGTTTTGACACTTTTTATAACTCTATAGCTGGAATACATGATAATAATAATTAAATTCACTAAATAAATTAACGTTTTTAATATTTAAAAATATAAAAGATAATTATGAGCTGTGATAGAATTTGGTATTTTACAATAAACATCATTATAATGAAATATAATTAATGCAAATAATTTATAAAGATGATTTTTGTTTATAAGCAATCTTTATATCATATGACATTGCAAGCGAAACAAATTCACTCAACAAAATATATATTAACTGTTAATAAATATTTGTTCACTATTAATAAATACTTATTAACTATTAATCAATGTACTTTCCTCTCAAATATTTATTATAAATTAAATTATTAATAGTTAATAAATCCTTCAATCAGTGCAGGATCATGAGACCTAGACATATTAAAATTAAAAAAAATCTGGGCCCATAACCTGCATTGATAAAAGGATTTATTTTTATTCAGTAATCTTTATTAACTGTTAATAAATGATTTTTAACATCATAGGATTTAATAAATATTTATTAACAGTTAATAATTAATTTATTAAGTACAATTTATTAACTGTTAATAAATATTTATTAATGGTTAATAAATGTACTAGTAAGAAATGTTAAAAAATATATATTAAAATTTATTAAATTAAATAATTGTCTTCAAATAGATTAAATTATTAATAGTTAATAAATCCTTCTATCAATGTATAACACCAACCCGATCCAATTTTACGATCTTTTCATAAAATATTTCTGAGAAGAAAACGTAAAAAATTTTTAATTTACTTTTCTCACCCTGTTACAAATTGAAATCGATATTTCAATAATAAAAATTCGTTTAACTATCATTTTCACTTTTTATCAATCACTGTGCTTTGAAAGGTCGTGAAATATATTAAGCTAAAAAATTACCTTTCACTGTATACAGGAAAATAACCAAACTTTTTTTCAGACCGTCTCATAAAAATAATCAATTCTGAAAAAGAAAAAAAAAAAGTAAACAAATAAAAAGATTAGACTTTGTTTATTTATTTGAGCAAAAAACTATTGAATACAATGAACATTGTACTTGACGGGATCTAAGGTCACCAGGAAATTTGTCACGTGATACTCTCTCTTTAAAACAATACTAATTAAAATGTTAATAATTAATTAGCATACGCGCACAAAGCGGCAGACTTTCGATTCGAACTTTCATCAATAGTTGAGTCAGCTAGCCGTTCAGTTGACAAAGATCTCTTCGCTAACTAAATCGACCGTTTTCGAAAAAATAATAAAACAAAATACATCCTCGTATTTTCACATAAAAAATAAATAGTTGCACTTGCAGAACTTGAACACAACTTTTCTTGTGACTTAAAGGTAACATCAATATAGTTATATTCCTTGGCCGTCCGAGGGTTCGTTGAACCAGTCTAGAAAAGACGAGTGTACTTGCTCAGATTAAATTGAGTTAGAATGTGTCAATAGAGCGCTAAAGTTTAAAACTACCTCATCCTTTTTTATCATATCATATTCTATGTTAGAATAAAAAGTAAAAAAAAAAAGTAAATTTGTAAGAAAGTGGATTCAAGGTACAGTGGTCAGTGTCGTAGATTCTGTGTTGCATTCATATGAATTGATCTTCTGAATTTTGCACACTTTTTTGTAAATTCAATCTTTTACCAACAGAAAATCCGCTGAATGGGCTTGTTAATGAAATACAGAGGTGGTATTTAAATAAAAACAGTAGCTATGCCGGACACTGAGTTTTTGGACACCAATGATTTTGATGAATTCGAAAAAGCTTTTGATTCACGAGTCGTTAGATCTAAATACACTAGAAAAGATAACGACAGTGGTAAGTCATTTTTAGTTTTGATATTAAAATAATTCATAACTAGCAATCTTGCAGTCACTATGTGACTGTCGTGACTTGTAAACTATAAATATATAAAATTTTGCTTTATTAAATAATAACTTTTGTTAAATTGCACTGTAATTTTTTAACTATTGACGTTTTTAACGATATAAGCTCATCCCGATGTTACACTCATCAAGAGCTTTCATTTGAGTACCCACATGCATTTTGATATATTTTTCATATATACATATATATAATATATATAAATATATGAAAAAATGATGTGGGTACTTAAATGAAAGGTCTTGATGAGTGTAACATTAGGATGAGCTTATATCTTTAAAAATGTCAATAGTTCACAAGATACAAGGTCATTTCTTAATTATGTATCAAGAGATAGAGAATTTTCGAATGCAGCCTAAATACTTATTATAAATTGACTATTGGTGAGAATGATATGAAACCATGAAAATGCACAACTTCAGGTTAAGACTTTTTCAACGACACCAAATTTAACCATAAAAATTCATTTTATCATATAAATACACTGGCCACAAAATTTTGCTTATTCTCTTAATAATATAGATTATTTTTAAATTACTGTTTAATTTTTTAAAGTGAGCCAAAAATGAGTTTTTTAAAAATAAGGTTTAGTGTCTTGTATATTTTTTTTATTTAATTTTTAACTTCCGGCCATGGAAATCGATGATTATCAAAAATTGGGAAGTTATTGGTTTCTCCTGGATTTTTGGAAATCGAGTTCTTATTAGATTTGTCCATTCTGAAGTTCTAAAAAGTTACTATGACTGTTCTTAGAAGGATATCTTGAAGTGTGCATATGTATGTATGTATATAAATTTCTCATTAAGTTTGAAGCAATTTCTTTGTGCTCAAAAAAATGCATTAAATTCCATAAAACGATTCAATACCGGTCAATTCGTTCAAGAGATTCCAGTGTTGAAAAAACAATTTTTTTTTTTTTACGTAATTTCAAAATTTTATATTAGATAGTTTTTGAAGTAAAATTTCATCTTTTTGTATTAAAAAACTGCGTTAAATGCTTCAAACCAACGAAATTGGTCGATTTTTTTTAAATAATGCATTTCAAAATTTTTAAAAATGTTTTTCCAACACTACTAGATTTTCGAACTCGATCGAATTAACCTGTGAAGTTCCATCAATTTACAAGCTAATACATTTTCGTATTAAATCTATACTAGAAATAATTGAATTCTATTATCGATTGGTGGATTAATTATAACGAAGTTCTATGATTAAATTTGAACAATAATAATCAAATTAGTATCAGAAAATACCGAAATTTCTCTTTATAGTTTAAAATTTTTATAAAAAATAATAATTTATTTTCCAAAAAAATATTCTTTAATTAACATTTAAAAAATTTTTAAATCTTAAGTTAATTAAAAATTAAGTAGGAGTAAATAAATTAAGTGTAATACTCATCGATGTGCGTAAAGTATTAAAACTCGACAATTTTAACTTTTTAATGATTACTGTAAAATTTATAACCCGTATCTACTTACCGTGTAAATAGAAGGCAAAAGACAAGTTGAGAAGACGCAGAAGTTGTACTGTTGTACTACTCGAAGTTTAAGTGTAGGTACAAGTCTCGTTAATTAATAATTTAAAACATAAGAAGAGTCAATACAAGAATCGAAAACAAAAGATATTAATTTCTTTGTTATAAACTGTTTTTATTTTATTTTATTTTGTTACTCAGAAAAAAATAAAAAAAATTGTCGGTACTTATTGAAACATTTATTGCAGATTATATATTAAATAAAAATCCATACTACAGTAAAGTATACGATAAAATATTTAGAAAGTCTATAGAAAATCCAGAAGAATTTTGGGCCGAAGTCGGCGAAGAAGTTGAATGGAGTAAATATTGGGATAAAGTTCTGGATAATTCCAATGAGCCCTTCACTAAATGGTGAGTTGTTTATTATCTAGAGACCTATTATCTTTGCCTTCTCTCAATAAACAAAATTTCGGGCAGTGATAAAATTCCTTTAATTGTACATTATTGCGTGACCTTTCGGCAAATTAAATAAAAATAATTTTTTAATGTCAATTTATTGCTGGCAGGTCCCATCAAAATATATCAATTCAGTGACATAATTGAATTACTCATACATTTAATTGTATTTTATCGCAGGTACGTTGGTGGAGAAATAAACGCTTGTCACAATGCAGTGGATCGTCATGTCAAAGCTGGTTACGGAAAAAAGGTCGCTTTGATTCATGACAGCCCACTGACATCAACGATACGCAAAGTAACATACGATGAATTATTAGAAAAAACATCGAGACTTGCCGGTGCACTAGCTAATATGGGAGTGCAAAAGGGCGATCGTGTATTAATTTATATGCCTCTTGTTCCTGAAACAGTCATTGGTATTCTTGCCAGTGCTCGTCTTGGCGCTGTTCATTCTGTTGTTTTCGGAGGTGACTTTTCATCTATTAAAACATTATTAATCTACCTATTTAATTTATTAATTAATTAACTAGCAACTTTGCAGTCACTATGTGACTGCCGTGACTTGTGAACTATAAATAATCAAAAATTTTGCTTCATTAAATAATGACTTTTGTTAAATTGCACTGTATTTTCTTAACTATTGACGTTTTTAAAGATATAAGCTCATCCCGATGTTACACTCATCAAGAGCTTTCATTTGAGTACCCACATGCATTTTGATATATTTTTCATATATACATATATATAATATATATAAATATATGAAAAATTGCTGTGGGTACTCAAATGAAAGGTCTCGATGAGTATAATGTCGGGATGAGCTTATATCTTTAAAAATGTCAATAGTTCTCAAAATACAAGATCGTTACTTAATTTTGTTAAATTGCACTGTACTTTCTTAATTATTGACATTTTTAAAGACATAAGCTCATCTCGATGTTATACTCATCAAGAGCTTAATTATGTATCTAGAGATAGAGAATTTTCGAATGTAGCTTAAATACCTATCATCATAAATTGACTATAAGTGAGAATAATATAGAACCTTGAAAATGCACAAATTCAAGTCAAGACCTTTGCAATGACACTAAAGTTCACTAAAAAAAAAACCGATTTTATCACATGACTATCATGTAACTAAAATTTTCAAAAAATCGATTTTTATTGACTCATAAAATTTTTTTCAGCAAAATTCAGACTTTTTTTTCAAACCTCAATTTTTTTTTCTGAGTCATTGCATAAAAAATGTAATAATTTTTATAAAAATAATTTGCGTTTGGATTTAAATGTAACTCAAGAGTTTTTAAAATTTTAAATGTTTATAAATCACAAAATCAAATCAAAAATAAAAAATACAAATACCAACTCGGTCTTTTTAACCACGCGTCACAATCTCAGACTCGTGACGTCATTTCAAGTGTCTAAGTCCCTATTTTTACATAAGCTCATTGAAAAAAATTACTTTAAATAACCAACCCAAGTGTTTTTTTTAGTTTACTGCATGATTTATAGCTCCATTGACTTCCAAATAACAAATTTTTGAATTGAAAATTTATAAACACAAGAAAAAAGTAGCGAAAATGAAGTATCACTTACTTTAATCAGTAATTTTTTTTCAGTGTACTAATTTAACAATGAATGAACAAATGAAAAAAAAAAACGTATTCACTTTATCGTGAAATTCCATCCAATAAAATAATATATTTAGGCGCGCAGTAGCCTATCGGATCCGGCCCTTGCTTACCAAAGCATTGGACCGGGTTCGAGTCCGGCGTACACCAATGAATATTTTCAATATTTAAGTGTATTATACTGCTCAGCCCAAGAAATAAAACGAGTTCCAATCTCAAAAGTTTACCCCCTACCGTAGTCGCTCATGACCTTAGTAGTTTATGCGACTTTAAACAAATTAAGAAAAAAAAAAAATAGTTATTCGAAGATAAATGCCAAAAATACATTTTTTTTTATTTTTAAAGTCACAAAATAAATTGAAAAAATCATAAAATTGGACGAATAATAAAATCAATTATGCAATTAATAAATAATTATGCATATACGGAAAAAAGAAAAAAGGAAAAATTACATAACATAATAAACAGTCATGTGTCGCTTCAGATTTAAAACTAGAAAAATTGCAGTTCAAAATAACATTTTTGAAATTCAAACTTTGAAAGTTAATTTTCACAGCGTTAAGTGTATTACTCAAATTTTACAATTTAATTCTCACAAAATTTGTAAAAATTATAATCTGAAACTGTAATTTTTCTAGTTTTTTATATGAAGCGCCACGTTAAATTATAAGATGTAATTTTTTCCTTTTTCCTTTCCGTGTTTTTCTTTAATAAATTTGATAAATTTTAACTATCTTTTACGACCGAAATATTAGTTTAATAAAATTGACAAAATTCAAAATTTTTCGAAAAAGAAAAAAATTTTCCAACACCCAAAACTTGTTAACTGAATGGCCGATTTCACTCATATTCAAACTTGATCTCAGCATTGATTCATAGAATAAGCTCACATCATTTCATTAAGATCGGTTTAGAACTATGGGCGCAATCCTGCTGACTTGACGCTTTATATTACATGTATAAGTAAACTTTTAAGCCAATGTTATTTTTTGACATAACTCGACAAAATAAAACATATTATATCAAAATTTTCTTAAAATTGCGACATATGACTGACTACAATAGCTAGATGTCTAAGGATATCTACCCAATGAAATAAAACAAAAAAAAAAAATTAATGACGACTCGATTTTTCTATTATCTATGCCCAAAAATAGGTGAAACTTAGTTTCGACATTATTAGTAAAATTTTTTTTTAAATTTAAAAAATTAATAATAACAATAAAATGTAACAAATAATACATTTTACTGAGTATACGAAGTAGAAGATAAAGTTTTCGCGGCAAGAGCAGAGAGGAACTAAAAGAAATACGTTGGTCATAAAATAAAACCTTTATGTTGCGGCAATACTTGCCGAGGGAGTACTTATTTTATAGTGTGATCGATTTGTGATTTTATAACTTCAGTTGTCTGTATTACGCTTGTTTTACGTCGAGTTGCTACTCTGGTTCAAACGAGCCGCGGAAGGAAATAACAACTAGACTTTACATATTGGAGCGAGCTCTTCAGGTCATTCTTTAATCTTTTGTTTGGGATTATTCACGCGTACTATGAACTGGATCGATCGTAAATTTCGAGGATATTGGAAATTGTTGTATGTATATCTTTATATTTAAATATTGCTAGGTTTTATTATTCCAGTAAGCTTTCAAATTTATATTTTACGGCTACCAACAAATTTTTAACTTAAATTACGAATACTTTATTTAAAATTTTTTTTTATTTTAAAATTATTTTAAAATAAATATTAATTTTTTTTATCAAAAACATAGAATAAAACTCTTTTGTTATAATTTTTACAAACAATCGAGTTTTAAACATAAAAACATAATTTCTATCACTTATGATTAGTTATTAAAAAATTAATTTACAGTTCATATAAAAACGTAATAAATGGAGCGTACGGAGTCATTGGAGCAAGCAGATTCCATCACTATCATTCTACATCCTATTTAGAACCATTAAATGAGACAATGTCCTGACGGTGTTTTAGCAGACTCAACAGAATCCTGATCGGTGGTCTTAACGTCCTCAGCGGCAAGTGCCAATATTTCCTCACATACTCGTTTGTAAACCCACGCATCGCCTTTCAATCTTTTCCTACGTATGCCGACAACCGGTTTATCATTAGTTGAGAATCCATCCAGCAGACAAACCTCTAATTCGAACGAGCAGATTTTCCTTTGATTGCCAAATGCTCTTTGACCTTGCTTTATATTCTCATTGTCATAAACCTCAGTTTCTCCTTGTAGAATAAAGCTACCATACAGATAATTTTTTTGTTAACTATCACCTGTTTAGATCTACTATACCTATTACTACATCTATTTATTTTTTTTGTCAATTGGAAAGTGTAAATTACCCTTTTTGTCGACAGAAAATTCCTTTACGTTGTAATGCACGTCGTAATTGTGATAATACATCTTTTGGACAATTATTTGATGTTGATGATACATTACAAAGGCCCTTTAAATAGTTAATAATAAATTTTAAATGTATTATTTAAAGTTTTTATATTCTAAATTTTCGCTTATAACTTATCGTAAAAATTCTATTAAATAGTTGTACGCACTTAGAATTTATAGAATCGAAAGGTCTCTAATTTTGACACAATTTTGTCAATTATATTTTTATAATTTATTAAGGTAATTGCGAAATACCTACTATCTTAAATAGTCAGAATTTATTATTTTAATAAATTATGGAGACTTATTCATGTCTTTAAATGGAGTCTTATTTTTTGTTTTAAAGTAAAGCTTCATTTTTTATCTTCAAATTTATAGGAAAAAGATAAATTCAAAGAAAAATAAGAAGATATAATTATATATATATATATTTTTCAACTTTCTACTATGAAAATGAAATTATTAATTTTCAAAGCGGGAACTAAAAAATAAGAATTCATTGTAAGACAACAATAAGACAATAATAAAATATATCTTATCAAGACAAGATTGAAATTTTCTTTTTATTTTTAAATATAAATCCACTATCGAGCGTGCAAGTGCAAGTCATCAGAAAAATATCACCCAAAATATTTTAAAAATAATATTTCGCTGTTTAAACTAATTTAAAATATGAAAATATCAATTTCAGTTTAAATTTTGATTGGACGATGAGAGATACGGGAAAACTAATAAAGACTATTTTGATAGAAAAATAAATTTCTTACAACAGAGATATCATATGATTTTTTTGAGTCTTTAGTATTTAACCAAAAATTCAGATTTTAAACTTTCTAAACACGTGATATAATCGGAGACTAAGATTTTTAAGATTTAATAATATAATATTAATTATTTGACAAAAACAGAATCTACACTTGAGTTTTTGGTTTGATGATTCCCATGGGAATGGCTTTGATCATTCGATAATCATTAATTAATATTTTATATTACCAGAATTTATTTGAATTTTTAAATTTCGATTAAAAACGTTTTATAGAGGACTTCCTAGAGATCGTCTACGGGAATTAGCGAAATGATTATTATTAAAAAAAAAAAAAAAAAAAGTTTAGTCACTACTTATATCAATTTTCATCTTAATGACAAAAAAAAATAATTAAAAAAAAAAAAATATTAAAAAATCACTTTTTTCGGTTTTCTAAGTTCGTACAAAAAGTCCTCAAATCACCAATTATCAATATTCGTCTCAATCAATATTCGAGTCAATCAATAAACTTTAAAAAAAAAACTTACCTTTCCACTAAGAACAATAGGTTGATCCGGAGAGTTATCATTATTAACGCACTTAAGTTTCCTTTTTGGCGTCAAGACATCTCTAA